ATATGTAATTATTTCCATTTTGGGCCCTTATTTGTAATTATTTTCATTTTTTGGGCCCTTATATGTAAATTCCCCTATTATTTTTGATAACTTCATTATGATTAGGAGTAAATACTGGGCATACTTTAAGACCTATACAAGGTACTTGTATGACACGTCCTACTACATGCATAGAATGTTGAATACAGCTAACACCACGACTAAAAAAATATTTATCTTTGTTACAAAATAAACATCGATGTCGATATACCCAACTTTTTTCAATGTCTTGTGAAGCTTTGAGGTTTGGACTGTGGAGATCATTTTGATCAAAACCAAAATGCGATCCGCAAACACCTAAAGTATATAGCTGGTTATTATTTTTTACAGATTCGAATGCTTCACTATCAATCTCCCAGCTACCAACTAGTTGTGCTAAAGGTCGTTGAGTTTTTTGTTTATATTTTGAACATCGTTGTATTTGACCATTATCCACATGTAGAAGGACGCATGGTGTTAATTTATTTTTTTCGCAATTATCTTCGAGAAGATAATTTGAACTTTCTGTTGATTGTGTTGTTAATGATGCAGTTTCTAAAGATTCGTAATCTAAATCATCCCACTCAATTTCATTATCATAATTACATTCTTTTTCATTCGCTAACATTTTTGCTTTTTCAAAAGCTAACTCATCCCATACAAACAACGGTTCCATTTCATTGTTTTCAGTAACATTATTAATTTCATTAGCAAGGCTTTCTGTAGCAGTAGCAGAGCTTATACTATCATCATCAAGTATATTGTAATCACTATCGGGATCACGCAAATCAAATTCTTCCTCATTTATTCCGAGTAAGAAGTTCTCATTTGACTGCTTGTCTAGAATTATATATAAAAATAAGTTTAATATCTTTGAATATTGTCCTAAAATTTTTCATCTTCAGTTGTATTATTGTGATACATACATATTTGCTTCTGGTTTTCCATTGGTATTAGTAACTAAACTGGTAGTAATACGTATAACAAACGTCCTGGCAGATTTTTATATAGGCTTAAGATCTTCTTCGGGTTTTGGCTTGTTAAGGTTGATATATTTTTTATTAAAAAATGAAAAACTTTGGGAGTAATAAACATTAAACATAAAGGTAAAATAGGTTATACATTGACGGAACTATTATAGAGACGAAAAATCACATCTGCTTAATTCTATTATCAAAATGCGAAATGTTGTATGTCGATCTTTATAGTAGAATATGTTACACAAAAAATTAAGGGACATTTCCACTGATCGGTAAGTATGATCGAACGAATTAATTTAACTTGGATTATCAGATGAATTACGAAACTACCCCAAGAGCACCATCGAAGCGTGACTGCAACCAATCATACAGTATTTCAAGATCAGGCATAACGTAATACTAACGTAACACGATCAGATAATTCAAAACAAACGTTCATTTTGTCTAAAAACGCCAATAACTCAAAAATCTGTATAAGAAACCACCCTTGGTGCTCTAACAAAAAGTTTTCTTTGGACGATTTTACTATATATTATGCTAACATTTAACCACAATATAAACGCTAACCCAATATTAACGAACTTTTAAGAATCTTAATACCGAAAATTTTTTTTTAGTCTTGCGGTTAATAAATGTGACAAATCTCATTAACCTAGCCAGAACACAAAAAATTAAGTTTCGTCACACAAAATTAGGTATGCGGTTTGTATCACTTATCTGCAGAATTAATTCTCACGGTCGATTTTTTTATTAACGAATATTACGAATAATGACTAGACCCTTTTCCTTACTTTATACGATCCCGCGATAAGAATGGGACTCTGCGAAGCAGGACACTTCGTGTCTAAAAAGGCTATAACTTTACAGAAAGTTATAATTTTTTAATAATATCGTAATTAAGTAGTTACTAAATTGTTACCAAATTGATACAATTT